TCTCTTTTTCATATAGTTGCTTTTCCAAAATAATTTTTTTTTCTTTGACATGTTGAATAATAAAACTGTTTCTTCAAATTCTGTGTCTGACTCTGATTCGCAACTGTCCAGAAATAACGCCATTATTTAAATTATAAAATTCTCTTTCAAAATTTTCGAGAAGACTGCTTCCAAATATGCGCTCACACTGCGTGACACGTATATTTTCTGACCTGTGTAGCCTGCCCTGCACTGCGTCACCTGTTTCACCTGCGTCCCAATGTGCTGCTTACTTTATTTTCAGTTTCTATTAAAGGGCAGCCTCTTTGTAGGATATTAATGCCAGTAATGCCACTTTATACAGATATAAAGTCCAAATGTTATATTGTTACATAATAGAAAGATTGAAAATAATACAATTTTATGTAGATTGATTGATTGACCTTTTAATTTGTAATAATATTCCTTTTTTTTTCTTACTGACGATAAGTTCTCTTCGAATTTGGTTACGTTTTTACGTATGGTTTTACGGTACTAAAGATAATCCATATATAAAGATAATATTATTTTATTATAAAAATTATTAAAAAATTATTAATTTTAGTTGGCACACAAAGTTGTATTTTCGTCTAAGATTCAACCCATACATCTACCAAAACACGACATTCACGTACCAAATGGAACACCAGTTACTACTGCGGGTTGGGGATTTACAGATCCAAAGGTACCTAAATATATTAGTGTATATTACAATATATTAGATATAGATTAGATATATATATATATATATATATATATTATATATATATATATATATATATATATATGTATATATCTATATCTATATATATATATATATATATATATATATATATATATTGTAGTTTTGGAGTTTCTTGAACCGTATTATATTTAATATAAAATTCTTGTTTCTTGGGTTTAGGTTCAATAAAGATATGCTATATGTGGAACTAGATTTTATTTTCCATTGCAATCAATCAACGTTTCAGCAGGAAACCCTCGCCTTTGTCAAGATTCAAAACGTAAAACGTGACACAGACATTAACGAACTGACATATAAAAGTTGATATCAGATATCAACTTTTATATGTCAGTTCGTTAATGTCTGTGTCACGTTTTACGTTTTGAATCTTGACAAAAGCAAGGGTTTTCCTGCCTAAACATTGATTGATTGCAATGGAAAACAAAATCTAGTTCCAGATATAACATATCTTTATTGAACCTAAAACCTAAGAAACAAGAATTTTATATTATATATACATATATATATATATATATATATATATATATATATATATATATATATATATTATTTATATTATATATATATATATATATATATATATATATATATATATATATATATAATATTGTTGTGATCTGCTTTATGATGTTTTATTATTAATTAACACTTAATTTAATTAATTAATTCACTAATTTATGCAGAGTCGTACAATTCAATTACTATTAAAACTTCTCAGGGTGCCTTTTTTTTAATTATTACTTTAATCAGTTTACTTTATATATCTCTTCTAGTGGGTTCAGTATCTCCTAGTTGCTCATAATTGGGATAGAACAGGAAACGGAACTAACATTAAAATAACATAAATACGCACACAAATTATTATTTATTTTCAATAAGCAATACGATGAATATTAATAGATAACTTTTGTGGGCAATTATCTTTCCCAACAAATTCCTATACTCTAAATTTAATTTTAATTACAAACTATCTATTGATCTGTTTTATAATAATATCTACTAAAAAAAATGACCATATAAAAATATAATTTATTCACAAAAAAAAATAACTCTGCAACTTGGAATCTTAGTTCGTATGCTTATATTTGATTTTATCTTTAGAAATCTTAAAATTTTCTTTCATTCAAATTATTTGACTGACCTTTATTTTTACACCAATGATGTCTCCTCTCGATCAAACCATAGTTCCTTCCTTGATTGATTATGTCCGGCTACCATCAAATCTTTCCCGTTCTCAGCATCGATCCAAACCGCATACCAGCCAACTACTCCTCCGAAAACACAAGCCCAAGCCTCTTTTGACCGGTACTCTTTATTCACAAATTCTCCTTTCTTTCTCAATTCGTGGACTATGCAGATTCAAAAGAGGTATTAATCTTCTCGATTTTGATCTGCTCTCAACTTTCACCTTTTTCACTAACAAACGAAAACACTGGTACTCAGATTGACTACACGAAAACACGTCTTCTCCTCTGGTCTGCCGGTAACATAATAAATTTTCAATCTCTCCCAGACAACCTTCGCAACTCTCTCATTCTCACCATTCTTTTTTAACCAATCATAAGCATTCATCTTTCCCACTTATTTTCGATTTAGAAAATTTCCAACATGATATTTAAAACAAATAAACTAATTTCACTCAAATTACTTTTCAGAAACCATTAACAATTTTGCCTTTTTCAACAGAAATAAGTTTCCAAATTCTTGTTATCTCTTATCTAAATCCAATTCTTATTTACTTTCGAAAAATGCCCACCGCAAAATAAAATTACAAGTTTATTCCTAAATCTATAATTATACGGGTTCCATTGTCCTTTCACTCTCAGTTTTTCACGAAAAAACTCGTTAGGGTCCCGTCACGGAACAATGTTTTCTCTTATTCTGACTATTACAAATAAGTACAGGGTTGTATTTTAACTTATTTGCCCGCATTATATTAAAATAATAAAAAACTCTTTATTCTATTTGTGATCGATAAACTGATCCATAACAATATATATATAATATATATATATATATATATATATATATATATATATATAATATATATATATATATTATATATATATATAATATATTATATATATATATATATATATATATATCGCACACCTAGTTCAATAGTGCCACAAGTCCAAAATACAATAATTTCGAGAAATGAGCAAAACGTTCTGTAGCAAACGAGTTATGCCTTGTAAATAATTTATTTTTAGAATGACTGGCTTCAAAATTACAATTTAGTTAGCAAATTATACAGTTATTCGCTGGATCTTATTACAATTTATTAAAAATAAAACGTTAATTGTATTTTGATAGTTATGGCGATATTGCATTGTGAAGAAAGTCATTTATAAAACGATAAATAGGAGATACGGCGGCAACATAATAAAAAAAATCAACTAGTTCTTACAAAAAATATTTTTAATATTATTATTACGTTGTATGAACATTTTTTTAAATTACTATTAACCAAGTCCTTATAAAAATCGTGATGAACAGGTAATATTAAGTTTTTATTGCACAGTTCCAAAAGGTGTTGCTTGGTTTTTGCGGATATCGATGGAGGCTTTATGTACGCTTTTTTAAATCGATTACTGCTTCCACAGTTGCTGAACGCCCCCTTGTCGATGCTTTAAAATGGACCTCTTCGAACTCATTGGCATTATAATCTGTTTTATAGAAGAAAGATCCAGGATTGCTTTTGACAACTTTAATAACTTGGATATCATTCCAGACTACCCTTTCATCTTTTGTATTCTTTGTAAAATTTCCTCCAATTTTTGAATTGAAATCTTTAAAGTCATAAAAGTCTTCTGTTGACATTTCTTTTACATTGTAAGTATTCCCTCTTTTTTTGCAGATCTTATGATGACAGGCCATTGTGCAGGAACATAAATGGGACCTGTTTTAAGTATTTTCTTCTTTTGCCTCTCAATAGTTGCGTGCATGGCGTCCCCTTCATTTTGGTATGTCCACATGTTAAAAATTTATGTGTGATTGATTTAACATTAATTTTTCCAATTGCATAGAGATACGTGGTAACTATAAATTTATTTTTATTTTGCCCAACACAATTGTCGCTATAAAATATAACTTCTTTATCATTATAATGATTTGAAAGATAATCAAACAGACACGTAGCTATTTCGTTTGAGCCGCGGTTAGCAATAGCCTCGTGCCAAAAGTAACAGTAACCAGTCTTTTGCAATATCTGAAAAATTGTAAAGTTGAAGCAGTTCAGGCGGCATTTATAGTAGAAGCTTGAAACATCTCCACAAGGTGTAGGAAGAATCGCCTGCAAATCAAAACAAGCTACCAATACTTGAGAATCATCTGTTGCTCTTGCTATATCTTCGGCTTTTTCTTCTCTGCTTCTAATTTTATTATGGATATGTTTATTATAAGTTTGATGAAGATTAGCTTGCTGTTCAGCAGAAGAATTTCTATATGAATCACAAATTGTGCACTGATCTTTTTTTGACTGAAAGAAAGTTATGTTAAACTCAGTTTTGAAAATATGCTCGTAGGTGCATTTTTTAGCCACAGGCCTTCCTTTATTCTCTTCCTGTAGTTTGTAGTAGCGATACATTTGAGCTAACGTAAGTGAACCATCTATGTATTCCTTTGTAGTTTGTGCTCTAAGATAATGTGATTCTACCCTTTGGAAGGAAATTTATGTGTTCTCTTATTTTATTTTTCACCGATCCAGTAACCGTTTCTCGTTTCATAAAAATATACCTGCTCTATGTAATCATCTTGGCGAGGGTCTGTATGTAGATTTTCTTGATGTTTAAATGTATTTGCGGTATGATTTGATTCCACGGGTAACGCAACCGGAGTAAGCTAAAAAATTACATACATTAAGTAAAACCTCACTGTGATTTTTGTTGAAATACAAACCTCCGTCAACACAAAGGATATGTCATTCATAACCTCAGAAACCTCTGAATTGTCTCTCAGATTCTCATCATCTTTAAGATAGCTTTGCAAAGCTAGTCCAAGCATTTTTCTTGCCCTTGACATCGTGTTTGATAATAAAGTTAATAATAATATCACTATACACTGTTTTCAGACTTCAAATCAAATAGTTGTACACTAAAAACGTGGATACCTCGTGCATAAATAATTGAGAACTGATAAAATTGTACCACTAATCTAACAATTTTTGCAGTTGTGGCCGTATTGAATTACATCGGTTGTATTGTGGCGGAGTGTATTATCGCCACATCTCCTAGTTATGGCCATATTGCATTTTAAAACCTTACAGTGTAATACCGAAATATCTTACTTTATACTTATCCAAGACAATATTTCAGTTAAGGTTGTATTGCATTAAATGGGGTATCATATATGCAACCTTTTTAAAGCCTTAACTCAAAATTGGAATTTTTGGAGTTGTGGCAGTATTGAACTAGATGTACCATATATATATATATATATATATATATATTATATATATATATATATATATATATATAATTATCAAAGTAAAAAACAAAAAAAATTAATACAACGTATTTTCAAATGATATTACCGTTTACTTTTTTTAAATATAGTATTTATTATAGATCATTTGAAATAGTTACGATAAAAAATTTGAAATCAATATATTGCATTTATTTCTTATTTTTGAACCCCCTCTGTGGCTCAGTGGTAAGAGCGCCTACCTTTAAACCTAAAGGTCGTGAGTTCGAATCTCACCTGGATGGAAATTTTCGTTTATTAAAAAAATTAATAAATGAAAATAATTTCTATCCTTGTGTGATCGGTACTCACCGGAGGGACCGCAGACGTTCGGATACAATTAGCGTCTCTTAGCAAAGACAATGACGTCGACTTTGCTAAGTATCAAGACAATTACTCTACACACACAAACACACACACTACATTAATAAACTTATCTTGATTGAGACTGGCTGAATGACAATTGTCCAAGCCAAAACACACAAAAAAAAATTTCTTATTTTTAGATACGGAAACTATCGGATGATTTGTTGGAAGTCAACATCAATATAATTGACTGGCAAACATGTAAAGAACTTATTTCACATGTGAGCAAAGTTACAGAGAGAATGATATGTGCAGGAAATCTCAATGGAGGACTAGACACATGTCAGGTAATAAATTAATTTAATAAAACCTATATATATTAAGATTATTTTCCTTATTTGTATCGGGTCAATTTTCTTCTAACACTATTTAGAAAATATAAAAAATTACGTTACCTCTAATGCTTGCGATAGAAAGTAGATTTTCTATTGGCTGTTTGGCGTTTAGAATATATACACAGTGGCCCAGAAGTCTAAAAAAGGCCAATTATCTCGTAAATTAGCTAGTTATAATTGTACACCTATTTGGGATGCGGAGATTCCATATTTGATATTTGCAATGTTGATAGATTAGTCGTAATTCTTAGATAATTAGTAATTTCGGTTTTTTGAATTATTAATTATAAATATAAAATTGTATATTTAAATTAACATATTACACTTATGATTTTATGTATTCTGGAAGGTCTTAAATACATAAAAAGTCTGGCAACACCTAATTGTCTCAATAAATTTTTTAATGCCAACTATTTTCAACTACATTAAAACGTAACAATTTATAGACTACAACATTTTTTAACATATTGGTTACTTTATCATGTGTTCAAAATGTACTCCATTTGTGAGTTGACAGTACCCTAATCGATGGTAGAATGCGTCTATCACATTTCTTAATGATTGTCTAGAAATGATCCGAGATTCATCGGTAATTCGTTGCATTAGCTGTGCAAGACTTGCTGGATTCGTTTTGTAAACTGAATTTTTCAAGTATTGAAACGCAGTACTCTGGGAGTATTGGGTTTTAGGAAGTGTAGGAACTTACAAATTACAAAAGAACTGGACGAGAAGTGCTAGGAAATACTAATAAAAAATGGCTAAGCTTAGAGAAACAAATTTAATTGGCCAAAGAGACACAAAATCTCAAGTGAAGGTTTAAAACGACAAATATACGGCATGATAAAATTATATAAATAAGGGAGAAAATGAGACGTTTAAACACCAAAATTTAATGAAATAAGGGAGGACAAATGGAAATATAAGGTTACAAAAAGGTACTATACACAGAAATATAGAGTTGCCTAAGAAAACGGAATGTGGGCGCCACTCAAGAATAGCTTGAGAATTTCAAAGTAGTGAAGAATAAAAAATAGATTACAATTGATACACGACCCTAAATTACTTAAAAAAACTCCTTATTTACCTTTTCTTGCTATCTAATATACTGGTCAGTAGAGACTGAAATAAAAAGTCAAAATACTTATAATAAATATATTATTTATTAATCGATATTTATTAATAAAAGTGTATAACAAAATCCGTAAAATAGTTTCGAAACACAATTCAGATTTCTGCTTATAATCTGAGCCTACTAAAAATTGCAAGGCAAACAGACGTTGATAAAAGATGTTAAAAGGGACATGGGGAATCTAAAATTTGCATTCCACGACATGCCTTTTACAACTAAGCAGAAATCCTTAGTGAATTGTGCTTCTAGTACTCACACAGAGTAAATCCAAATAAAATGAAAAAAGGCAGCAAATATTTGATTTCACGCAAACAAATCCTATGTATCTGTTGATACGTATTTCGACCTAATAGGTCTCATCAGAACAGCTATTCATAGGAGTTCTCAACGTAAAAAATCAATATTTTCTGCCTTTTAAGAAGCAATAATAACATGGCTTCAATACGGACGCGCTAGCGACATCTAATTACAAAATCGTAAAATCAACGTAATAACAGAGCAAATCAACGGCAAATTAAGCATTAGAATTTTCCAACAGACGGTTCCAACAAAACAAGTCCTCTTAGGGTTCAATCCTAATACTACAAGTCCTCTAAGGGTTTAAACCCCCTACTGGGCGCGACAATATCCAAGGACTAGGGAAAGCTGTTGGTTAAGGAAGCCAAGTCAGCTGCTATGTTGATGGGTGTATATATGGGAATATATTTAATAACGATAAATACTTTATTGCCTCTTACCTGGAAAAAAACACACGGAGATTACGAAGAGAAAACTGTAATATATTTGATATTTGGAGCTTTTCAACGTTATTTCCTTATGTTAATTTGCTAGTAATATATACTACTTTTTACTATGCCCAGATTCTTGTCTCTTCTTCTTCTTCTTTTCTACTTGTCTCTTTGTTCGAGTTATCTGACCAACTACCTCCGCTCGGTTTTTAGACACCAAAAACGATATCAAGTGGCAAGTAGTGCCCTCTGAACGATGACAAGTCATGAGCGTAACAAAGGAAATTTTTAGAGGAACCAGTTTGTAACTGCTACAGTATCCCCAATAAAAATATTCTTTAGGATGAGATATCTCATCTAAATAACGCCGAACATTTACACTAAAATGAGCTGGAACCCCATCTTGCTGATACCAGATCTGATTAAAATTGGTCCCACACAAGGTTCTCAGTGTAGGTACAAGTTCATTTCTAAGTAACTTTTCGTAACTATATGACGTTAAGGTTCCTTCAATAAAAAGGTAACAAGGTACAATTAACTGAGTACCCAATATACCTAATCATACATTTAATTTTTTTGGTCTTTGAGTATGGTTTTCACGCATCCAGTGTGGATTTACGACACTCCAGTACCTTAAATTGTATCGATTTACACTTCCACACAGTGTAAAGGTTATTTCATCGCAAGAAACATACATCATGTACTTGTGCAACTCTGCTTGCGGATGTATGTAGATCTTCACCAAAACTTTGCATTATATCTAAAGTTTTGTTTTGATTCATAACTCTTTTCGGTCTACCTGATCGGTATCTATCTTTTATTTCTCCAGATTCCTCTAATCGCTTTACAGTTTTTTGTACCGTCGCCCTTTTGAATAGGAGAACAGTTTGAAAAGGTTTCATTGAACAAGTTAGCTACTTCACAAAAAATATTTTTCTGTCACCGTACTCTCTCATGATTAGAATAATAATTCGTTCTTGTTTGCTAAGAGCCATTTTAGAGAAGCAATTTATCTTGCAGAACTTTTCTAAACACAACTACTGTCAGTTTTAATAAATAATGTAAATGGTGAAAAACTGTCAAAATTACTGCATTCTAAATTGAAATATTTAAATTTAATAAAATATACATATTTTGCACTGTCTTTTGTATTTAAGACCTTCAAGACTACATAAAATCATAAATGTTATATACGGCTGTACTCCTATTGAATAGAAGATTTCAATATGACTGAATGATGATGAACTTGAAAAACCAGAGTTACTAATAATATAAGAGAAACGGCAAATTGCAAATTTCAAATATCAAATATGAAATATCCGCGTCTCAAAATAGATGTACCTTAAATTGTGTACAATTAGACTAGTAAATTACGAGATAATTGACCGTTTCCAGACTTTTGGGCCACCCTGTATATATTGGAAAGTATCAAATAAGTTTGAAATCACGTAAATGCAACCATAGGGAGTTCGAAATCCTTACCCAAAAGATGAAAAAAGTTTGTTACTCAGTAAGAAATAAAATATAGCGTAAGTAATTATGTTTATAGAAGAAATGTTAATAGATATTGATATATTTTAAATAATTCTTAGTTTGCTTCCATCTGTATAATATAAGGCTTTACAAATATTTATTCTTATATTATTGTTTTGATAAAACTTATCTACTTATGGAATGATTTTTTGTGATCTCATTAAGTTATTAAAAATATCTGAGGATCTTTTTTGAATTTATCCTCCACGAATAAATTCAGTTATTGTTTTAACTGAATGTATTTTCTATTTGTCACGTAGAATTTTTAATTAGCAGAGTACTTAGCACCTTTTAGAACTGTGCGATTTACATTCACATGCGAAGTTTAAGATCTCTAAATAAACATATCGTCAACTGAAATTTTGGTTAGTTCCCATCAAAAATAGTAAATCATTTTATTTTAGATATATATTTTTTTTGTTTGTCAGTAGCATATTCTAAGATTACATTATATCATATATCTAAACATGGTCATTTTATTGTCATTTTGCATAATTATTTTATTTGCCTTAACGACTTCTATAATTATGTATGACGAAGTATCTTTATTTGTTACAGGGTGATTCGGGGGGACCATTGGAGTTAAACGGCACATTAATTGGTGTCGTATCCTGGGGAGACAGCTGTGGAAAACCCAATGCACCTGGAGCTTACACCAAAGTATCAGATTTTGTAACATGGATAAACGAAAACATTAACATTTAACTTAAAAACTTTTAAATAAAAATAGATTCCTCATTTTATGTATTTTCTTTTAATTTAAATTAATGTGTCTCGGCTGCAATGACTATTGACACAAACTATAAATTAATCTATAAGCTTAGAACCTATGACTACATAATACAACAGTTTTATCACTAGGTCATAAGTTAAAAGTAAAGTACATGGAAACAAGGGGCCATATTCTGTTGAACAACTGAATGTCTTTCAAGAAAACAATTAGGTTAAAGACTTGGTCGGGTGAGTTTAAAATGTATTTGATATTTGACTTAAATTTATGTTGCACTCTGTGTTTTGCGTAGCGGGGACACTCGATGGGTGTGTTTCACAGTTAATACACTTGAGCAGATTTGGCAGATTTTGAAAAATACCTTGGACAGACAAAATAACAAATAGTGTAGTTCTTCGAAAAATAAACAAAGAACGGGAGCTGTTGATCACCATCAAGAGGAGAAAGCTGGAATATCTTGGTCATATGATGAGAGGGAAAAAGTACCGATTGCTCCAGATAATTATTGAAGGAAAGATTCAGGGCAAACAAAGCGTGGGGAGACGACGTATATCTTGGCTGCGCAATTTAAGAGATTGGTTCTAGTGCACATTTAACCAATTATTTAAAGCAACAGCTTCAAAGATACGAATAGCAATGATTACTGCCAAACTCCGTAGCGGAGGAGGCACTTGAAGAAGAAGATTTGGCAATTGGGCTTTGGCTCGGACTTCATTAAGTATTCATGTGTGAATCGGGAATGTTCTATTCTTAATCTTCAGTTGATTTTTTCTTTTCTAGAGATTGTTGGAAGTTCAATTTTTTCAACGGTCTGCCGGATATCATGTGATACACTCTTGATTGTGTTCCAGCGGGTTTGCAAGGTATAATACTGTATAATACTGGTGCTTGAAAATTTACTTTATGTCATTACGGATTTAAATATGTTGGGGTTTTAAGGATTGATTGTTTACACAAGAAGCTTGCTGGGCTGTTTGGTCTGGTTGGTTTGGAATTGGTTCTTGCTTATGATCTCTTCGAAGTGTTGCCTTATGAGAAGGCTTAAGGTTTCATGTTACCTGTATTCTAATAGAAAAGTGATTAAATGTCGGATTGGATCCTTTGCGGGGTCTCTGGAGGCAATTTTGAAGTAATTAAATGATAGACTGGATTGGATGGATTTGCGGATACGAAAGCAAAGTAAGATTGAAGAAGATACTCTCGTCATATTCAGAGAGGTGGTTTATTAGCCTCGCAGTAAAGGCTGTCTATGGGACTAGATTTGAAAACCCCTAAGCAAAGACGAATAAAAGTGTTATGCACATAATTCAGTAGCTTTAAGTCAGATTTTGATGCAGATATTTATATGAAGCTACCTTAGTCCAGTTTTGAGCGGATTAGAGCTCCATATATATTAAGTAAGATGGTTTCGTCTGCACTTCATGTGCACTTTGATGGTGCCTTGATAATATTGAATCTCTTCACTGCATTGCCCTTTACTACCCCAACATACTGTTTCCAAGTGATGCTACCTATTAGGAAAGGTGTCCCTAATTCTGTTGGATTCAACCAGAAGGCAAGGATCACACAAGAACGGCACAGAGTTCACACAAAATCCGGGCCCCCATCGTGTGCCCCTGTCAGGTCGCCTACCAACTAAAACCACCCCCTCTTCGTCGCTGAATATCCCCGGACGAGTTCATTAGAGAACGAAACATGAAGACAACCCGCGCAGTCTGAAAACACGTTCTTTGTTGATGTCTGTGTGGTTCTTGTCTACGAATGGTGTATATATTTTTTCTATTACCAGGCAGTGGTCCGAGCCGCACTCTGCTCTTCTATTTACCTTCAAGTCCTGTACTCTTAACTTGGTTTGTTGTCTTGTTAAAAAATAATCTTATCTATTTTAGACCTCTTGTATGCTGATACCAGGTGTATTTATGTATGTTCTTGTGGGCTAAAAAACCAGTCAATATCTTTAACTCATATTGTTGGCATATATTTATAAGTCTTTCTTCGTTGTTGTTAACAGTTTCTTCTCCATGTATGCGTACCACTTTACTTTGTACTTGTTTTCCTAATCTGGCATTAAGGTCTTCTTCGCATATAATCTCATGGCTGTTAAGAATTTCGTTCAGGATTTTCTAAAGTCTTCTTCAAAAGCTTTCTTTTCTTGAACTGAGTAGTAATCATTTACGGCATATACACCCAGAATTGTTATTTGTATTCCACTTAGTCAAATCGTTACTTTAATAAAACGTTGGTTGTATCATTTCCAAGATTTAATATATTTTTCGAATTTCTTGTGTACAAATATTGATATCCCTGCTCTTGCTCTTTAATCCTTTCTCACTCCTGAGAAGAAATGTACAATAGTCTTTTAATTTTTCGCTTCCATTTTCTTTTTTCTTGGTCTCAGAGAGAATAACTAAATCTAATTTTCGATTTACGAATTCCTGCATAATTTCTTGTTGCTTGTTCCGGATTCCCTGTATATTCCAGATTCTGTAATTCATGGTTCATTTTCGTGGCTGTTTTTGTCTACTGTAATTTCCGTCCGGTAACCGAGGCTCATTGGGTTTTTTAGTACTGTAGAATTTTTACAAGTGTAAGGTTGCTGGCCTTACGACTTAACCCCTATCCTTGGAGGACCGAATTTTTTGGTGGGTTCATTCCCCTAGCCGATATGTTCCAGTGTTTTTGGCACCAGAGACTCGGCTTTTACACTCTCTCGTCTACATAACGCACTCCCATTGTACGCCATGCACCCAGTGGTTACGCGACATGGTATGTCTTCGTGGACGTGAGAGTAGGATTTGCTGGCAGAGCTGAGTTTTATTCCTATAACCTTCAACTCATTCGTTGGAAAACAGTGGGCATTTCTTAGAGTTTTGTTACAACAAAAGCATCGGCAACTTCATGTCGCCTCCAAGACCCCTTACCAGCCTTTAACCTCCAAGAAAAAATTAAATAGAACAAATAAATAGTTTTTATTGATTTCTCGAAAATCCACTTTTTGGATGCATTACCTTTTATAACTGGTGGTTCAAATGGAAAAATACTACTATAAAATGTTGTCTTATTGCTAGTACTTCCTGATTATCGCTTTTAAAGTTATTATCTATGCCTAATCAATTGGCTCTAAAATCATATTGTTTATTTATGTAAATTTAAACTTAAAAAAACCGTCAAACCTATGGGTCTCTAGAACTTGGAGTATATACGGAAACTTTAAGGTTTAAGAAGTTGAGGAACAATAGCCTTAGTTCAAATTATGGGGTACTGGTGTTAAAGTCATATGAAATTAATAATCTGTGTTACGCTTATGGTTGAATTGGGATGTTTATTTAGAAAAAAAAGATAAAATATCAGCTGGTCCAGAACTAGTGTTCTTCCAATCTCTAAGTAAATCATTCAATTTATGAAGTGCTAGGGAAAGATTCACAGAATTATCGTATCGCTAAATTTCATATGAAAGTGAACTACAATTTTCTGATTGTATTTTATTTTCAAGAAAAACGGATTCATAGCTGTAAGTGAAGGGTATTTTTGTATTATTTTGAGCTAATATATTAACAATTTTTCTTGGGGTCGTAATGATTTGCTTATTATTTTCTTTCAGACTTGACATTATGGGATACTGTTGGAAACAGTCAAAATACTTTAGTTTTGGACTTAAGTAGTTTGGATTCTATCTTATTCTTTAATTTTTTATATTTTTATACCTATTGGAAGCTTCTTCACTTGCCTCAATTGCTTCATTATATTCAGATTTCCACCATGGTGTGGATATGTGTGTATATATTTGGCAGTTTTGTTTTGCCTATAAACTGTTTTGTTTTTGTATTATAATATTATTAAGGTCGTTTAGGGTATCGTTGATATATCTATTATTTACATTAAAATTTATCTGAGCTTTACCGAAAAAATTTTAAATTCTAATCAAGTAACTGACTTAGGTTTCCATTTGGTGAAAAATCATAAGAATATTGCTGGCTAACAAGTTTTCTGATATTTATGGAATGCTTGTCGCTACTATGTGTATATGGTAGGACCTCTTATAAGACATGGGTCAACAGCGCTGCTTTAAAAAGCCTAAGTTAATAGCACATGAATCGTCGGCCTGAATAATAAAACGGATTGGAGTCGTCCCATTATTGAGTAAGTTAAGCTGCAAGTTAGACACTAATTTTTTCAGTAATTTACCTTTGTATCGGTACGTACAGACCCCCATATGCTATTAGAACCATCAAAACACCGAGTATAATAAGAGGAGATGGTATTTGTTCGATAAGACTATTTATGTGTCAAAAGTAGATATTGCACCTAATGGTAGGTACATATAAAAATTTAGGGCATCGAAAGTACTTTGAGTTTTCCACTACTTACTCAGGTGTGGTCATCGAGTATCTGGATAAGCAAGCTGCAAGAAGAGCGAGAAACCAACCACAACAGAAGATGGCACCACCACCACCACACCCATCAACATTCAGGACTACAACCAGCGGACTATCATACGCACAAGCCAGTAAAGGAGGACAACAACCATCCACAAGCAGATCAGAAGGAATTAAGAGCACATGGGCTGAAATTAATCAAATAGTCAATGTTGAGAAGATGATGGCAATACTTCAAGATATGAAGAAAGAACTACTCCAGGCAAAATCATTCGCTGAAAAAGCAATGATTTTTATGAAATACGAAGACATCTATAATGAACCTTAAACATCTGAAGATATTCCAGTTCAACATAGCATCACTACGGCTAAGAATCAGCGAACTTCGAGAGGCAGTAATAAGGCATAATCCAGATGTCATATACCTGTCCGAAACAAGATCCATGACGGACTCCCAACTACCAAGGATTACAAACTACGATGGATTCGGAAGAAGAGACGAACCAAACGACAGAGGAGTAGCCATTTATGTCAAAAATAACATAGAATGGAACCAAGTATTGATGGAAACACAACAATTTGAAAGTATTCAAATTAAA